GTGATTGTTTCCCAGCGCCGGGTGATTGTTTCCCAGCGCCGGGTGATTGTTTCCCAGCGCCGGGTGATTGTTTCCCAGCGCCGGATGATTGTTTCCCAGCGCCGGATGATTGTTTCCCAGCGCCGGGTGATTGTTTCCCAGCGCCGGGTGATTGTTTCCCAGCGCCGGGTGATTGTTTCCCAGCGCCGGGTGATTGTTTCCCAGCGCCGGGTGATTGTTTCCCAGCGCCGGGTGATTGTTTCCCAGCGCCGGGTGATTGTTTCCCAGCGCCGGGTGATTGTTTCCCAGCGCCGGGTGATTGTTTCCCAGCGCTGGGTGATTGTTTCCCAGCGCCGGATGATTGTTTCCCAGCGCAGGCTGATTGTTTCCCAGCGCCGGGTGATTGTTTCCCAGCGCCGGGTGATTGTTTCCCAGCGCCGGGTGATTGTTTCCCAGCGCCGGGTAATTGTTTCCCAGCGCCGGGTGATTGTTTCCCAGCGCCGGATGATTGTTTCCCAGCGCTGGATGATTGTTTCCCAGCGCCGGGTGATTGTTTCCCAGCGCCGGGTGATTGTTTCCCAGCGCCGGGTGATTGTTTCCCAGCGCCGGGTGATTGTTTCCCAGCGCCGGGTGATTGTTTCCCAGCGCCGGGTGATTGTTTCCCAGCGCCGGGTGATTGTTTCCCAGCGCCGGGTGATTCCCAGCGCTGGATGATTGTTTCCCAGCGCCGGGTGATTGTTTCCCAGCGCCGGGTGATTGTTTCCCAGCGCCGGGTGATTGTTTCCCAGCGCCGGGTGATTGTTTCCCAGCGCCGGGTGATTGTTTCCCAGCGCCGGGTGATTGTTTCCCAGCGCCGGGTGATTGTTTCCCAGCGCCGGGTGATTGTTTCCCAGCGCCGGGTGATTGTTTCCCAGCGCTGGATGATTGTTTCCCAGCGCCGGGTGATTGTTTCCCAGCGCCGGGTGATTGTTTCCCAGCGCCGGGTGATTGTTTCCCAGCGCTGGGTGATTGTTTCCCAGCGCCGGATGATTGTTTCCCAGCGCTGGATGATTGTTTCCCAGCGCCGGGTGATTGTTTCCCAGCGCCGGGTGATTGTTTCCCAGCGCCGGGTGATTGTTTCCCAGCGCTGGGTGATTGTTTCCCAGCGCCGGATGATTGTTTCCCAGCGCTGGATGATTGTTTCCCAGCGCCGGGTGATTGTTTCCCAGCGCCGGGTGATTGTTTCCCAGCGCCAGGTGATTGTTTAAATTTCCGGACAGCTATTTTTCCATGGTTGTATGGGAGCTTCCCAGGGCCAGACTTCATTCCCAGGGCCGTAGGGTACTTTCCCAGGGCCGTAGGGTACTTTCCCAGGGCCGTAGGGTAGTTTCCCAGGGCCGTAGGGTACTTTCCCAGGGCCGTAGGGTACTTTCCCAGGGCCGTAGGGTACTTTCCCAGGGCCGGGTTTAAACGTTCGGTTTAGTCATAAACCGAACGTTTAAGACTAAAACCTCGTTGCCTGTGAACTATAAAAACCTGTTAAATCCAAATTGGTCCAAGCTACAGACAGGAACACTTGCATGCTCTCAGGTTTGATCATTTAGGAGTAATTACCACCGCTGTGTTAAGGCTCTACGGGCTCACCATAGCCCATGCTACTTTGAAGTTGTTGTTCCAGGTAGCGAATCTTTAACAACAATAACAACCGCAGTGTTACCAGGTTATCCCACTTTGTCTTAAGCGTTTTACAACAAATTCATTTGAGAACCGGTTATATGTAAAAACATTAGTCATCAAATTAATTTTTTTTATATATAATTGTTTAACCCTCACGACTCCGTTTTCTTGTTATAATGGCGCCGATATATGACCCCTCATACCCTCCCCCCCTCCTCATCATTATCACCTCATACCCCCCCCCCCTCATCATTATCACCTCATACCCCCCCTCCTCATTATCACCTCATACCCCCCCTCATTATCACCTCATACCCCCCCCACCTCATTATCACCTCATACCCCCCCCTCATCATTATCACCTCATACCCCCCCCCTCATTATCACCTCATACCCCCCCTCTCATTATCACCTCGTACCCCCCCCTCATTATCACCTCATACCCCCCCCCTCATTATCACCTCATACCCCCCCCTCATTATCACTTCATACCCCCCCTCTCATTATCACCTCATACCCCCCCTCATTATCACCTCATACCCCCCCCCCCTCTCATTATCACCTCATACCCCCCCCTCTCATTATCACCTCATACCCCCCCTCATTATCACCTCATACCCTCCCCTCATACCCCCCCTCTCATTATCACCTCATACCCCCCCTCATTATCACCTCATACCCCCCTCATTATCACCTCATATCCCCCCTCTCATTATCACCTCATACCCCCCCTCATTATCACCTCATACCCCCCCCCCCTCATTATCACCTCATACCCCCCCCCCCTCTCATTATCACCTCATACCCCCCCCCCCTCTCATTATCACCTCATACCTCCCCCCCCCTCATTATCACCTCATACCCCCCCCCCTCATTATCACCTCACCGCCACGCTTACCACAACACCCGTAAGCACAAGAGGCGGCCAAGCTGCACGATTCGTTATGAGCGATAATCCTGCGTTGTGCCCGTGGGATTAGTGACCTTGTGGCTCTGTGATCTGTAGATTATTGCTATGGCGGGTAAACTCAATGAGATGGGTAAAGAGGGTGCTATCACACCGGGATGACTAAGGGCGGTGATCCTCTTTTAAGCTTAAGGTTAATGAGGCTTAATTACATTAGGGGCGTAAATCAGTGTTATCCTAAAACGCCCTTCGTTGTCTTTTATCCCAAGCCGGTACAAAGCCAGGAGCCAGGAGAGGGCAACACCACTACGATAGAAAGCCTGAAGATCCTATTCCAAAAGGCTGTCATGATGGCCCTTAAAGCTCTCTCTCCTGAGAGCTGTTTCTCCTGCCCGGGTCCAGGAGACACAAGAGCCCGCGGGAACCCATCATAATTAATCAATATTGTCCTCAAGATTCTGCTCTTTTCTTAATGAGACAAGACTAAAAAAATGAAATAAAAAAAATCAGCTGTTGTGACACGCTGCTCGTGGTGGGGGCCGTTTTGTTGTGAACGATTTGTTCCGCAATGTATCGCTCAGCTTTTAAATTCTACGACTACTTCGAAAATATGAACTCAAATATTTCTTAAATTTTGGGGGGTCTAAATGTGTCTTTCAAAGTTATTTTTTTGTTTAAAGGCTTTTAATACTCGTCCGGAACGTGATTATTCTGCATATAATCGTATTTCCTGACGTTCGTCAGAGTTTTTATCTGAGCAAAATGTTGGCGAGATATTTATGGTGATTAATGACGCTGGTTAATATATTAGAATTTTTGACAGCGGAAAGAGAAAGAAAAGAGAGACAGGAAGAGGCTGATGAATAGTGGAAGAAATTGATGAAGAAGGTAATTAATATACCGAGAACAAACAGGAGAAAGATTTTCCTGCACCCACACACACACTAACCCCCCCCTCCCCCCCCCTCCCCCCCATCCCGCCCCTCCCCCCCCCCCCCTTCTCTTTAAATATGTTTGGATAATATTAAGGAATATTATGATGTATGTTTTTAATATAGTTACAGCAGCGAGTAAGTAGTATTGGCAATAAATTATTTATGTTATCTATGATGAACCTAATCTCTCTCTCTCTCTCTCTCTCTCTCTCTCTCTCTCTCTCTCTCTCTCTCTCTCTCTCTCTCTCTCTCTCTCTCTCTCTCTCTCTCTCTCTCTCTCTCTCTCTCTCTCTCTCTCTCTCTCTCTCTCTCTCTCTCTCTCTCTCTCTCTCTCTCTCTCTCTCTCTCTCTCTCTCTCTCTCTCTCTCTCTCTCTCTCTACCTGAGTGATGCACGACCTGAGGTGGTAGAATGGGTTCACATATAAATGCTAATTATACTGTAAACTAACTTAGTAGTGCCCCGTGTAATTTCTGTTCAAGTAGACATAGAAAATGGCGACTTTCAAACCAAAAATAAAAAAAAAATCCGACCAACGAAAAAATACACAATAAAGAAGCGAATAAAGAGAGATGGATATAAGTGACAAATACAATAATTTGAGAGGAGAGAAGGAGAGCTGAAGATATACACGAGTGTGGAATTGGGTGAATGGTTTGGCTAATGAAGGGGAAGGGGAAGAGCAGGGGGAGGGGGGGGGGAAGAGCAGGGGGGGGGGCAGAGAGGGGGGGGGGAAAGAGGAGGGTGGAACTTGAACCAAAAAATTATAATGACAAATCTGCAGAGAGAGTGTTTAGTCACACTTGGGGCAAGGCTGCGGGGTAAATACTCTCTCTCCCTCTCCCTCCTCTTCCATGCTTCTCTACTCTCCTTCCCCAGCCCCCGATTTTCTTCCTCCCCCCCCCCCCTTCCTTCCACTCTTCCCTCAACCCTCCTTCCCCTCTCATTATTTCTAATGTGCAGTTTAGTGTGTAGTGTGACCAAGGGAGCTATGACTCACCACGCTCATCATCGTCGCCTGCCTAACACCAATACATCCCCCCCCCCCTCTCTCCTCCCCCCCAAACCCCTCTCCTCCCCCCCCCCAACCCCACCTCCCCCCTCTTCCTCAACCCCAACACAAAAAAATGTTGCGTCACACCTGCAAGAAAAATGACAGGTTGGACAACAAGAACTTCCCCAAACAAGGGAGGCCGTGCCAGTGTTGACACCTTTACTATACATCTGTTACATAAGTGTTGTATTAGAAGTTTAAGCCACCCGGGATTTTATTAGCCGGTCATGTGAAGTGTGTCGGGCGGGATCGCACAAATAAATTTATGAACAGTGAAAATTATTTTATTGAATAACTGCGAACGAGATACCGGAAAATTTGCGAGATCAAATTTGTAATTATTAAAAAATTAGTACAATGAAAATTCACATTGGAAACACGCGCATGCGCATTAGCAAGTGGGTGGGACCATAGGTTCCCCCTAATCATGCGTTTTAGCAACGGGCAGGACTAATGGTTCAACTGCGCATATGGGGGCGCGGCCACGGGCTCACCCGCGCATGCGCCGTAGCAAGGTGGTGGGGCCACGGGCTCACCCGCGCATGCGCCGTAGCAAGGTGGTGGGGCCACGGGCTCACCCGCGCATGCGCCGTAGCAAGGTGGTGGGGCCACGGGCTCACCCGCGCATGCGCCGTAGCAAGGTGGTGGGGCCACGGGCTCACCCGCGCATGCGCCATAGCAAGGTGGTGGGGCAACGGGCTCACCCGCGCATGCGCCATAGCAAGGTGGTGGGGCCACGGGCTCACCCGCGCATGCGCTTTAGCAAGTAAACGGGGCGAAGGAGTTAATAAAAAATAGCACGAAATGGTGCTAAAAGTGAAGATTTGTTTACCTCTTAATGTTTAATGTTAAGGACTGATAATTTAGCGTCACATTCTATCTGCTTATTGTTTGCAGCAAATGTAATTTAGTAAAATTGAACCTTCGTGGTGAGACAGAGGTGTCAAGCATGCGGGCCACCACCCTTCTATATAATTAATAATAATAAATCGTTTTGTCGGGGACAGGAAGCCTGTCCCCATCAATGGACAGTTTCTCGCCTCGACGAGGAGAGGAGGCCGATAGCTTTTTATTATTATTATTATTATTATTGTTTTCTACCACAGACTTGGCCACACATTTACAATGCTAACCAGCATATATATACATTTTCTTCTGTCCTCCATGGATAGGATTAGATATCTGTTAAACATAGAATTCATTGATTTATTGAACAATCAACCACAGAAGGTGACTGTAGTTTTTCTAAAATGCTAAGCTAACCTTCACACATAAATACACAGATTTACGTCTTGTCCTACATAAACAGCGTTCGAGATGTCCTCTTATGTAGCTTGTTAAAGGTCCTTCCCCGCCCCAATTGACCTGAATTGATCTACCCGGTTTAAGCGTGTAGGCGGTTCCATAGACTTTTCTAATTTTTTTTTTTTTTTGTGCGTGTTGGTTTGTACTTGTTGTTTCACCCAGATGCTCTGGGGTGACACAGCATCTCCTGTTTCCTCTCCCACATTGTGGCTTGTTGAGCTTGAAGCCGTTGTTTCTTGTCTCAGTTTTATCTGACCTCTTAAATACCCCGTTTGTGTGGACTATGAAGCTAAGTATACCACAAGTATAATACATATACAAGTTGAACATAACGCTACGATAGGCTACTGAATTCGTGGGGTCATAAACAAAGTATAAGTAATTATAAGTTATTTATCATCAATTTAGTGAGACTGCGATTACGGCAAGTGACATAATGACTCTTGCAATGGCTGTCTTTTTCAGAGCTTTTCTCGGAAGGGAATTAAATAAAAAAAATAGTTTGTCCAGACTAACGGCAACCTTTTGTGAACGTAACCTTCTCAAGAATTAGTTACTGAAGGATCAGTGAACTATCAGAGACTATTAACTGTCAACTCAAGAGAGAAAGCATTGACCTCTACTGTATTTATATTGTAAATGGTGAAAATCAGATGTATGTGATTGAGCACAATTTGCAATTTTTATCCCTGATGCAAGTTTGCAGATAACAGAAGAGTTGCTGGAATTAATACCAGTTAAAAGACCATAATAGGTGGTATGTGTGTGTGTGGGGGGGGGGGGGGGCAGGAGCCCTAGACGAACCAAGCGCTGACTGACCAAAAAAGCTGACAGTCTGCCTATTACGAAGCACCGCATATATAATGGCTGATAAATCTGGCGTGGTAAATTCATTAAAGGCGAAAACTATTACTAGTTATGAACGCCAACAATGAATTTCACAATTTCCATTGTGTTATTCACAGAGAAGTGACGAGCAGTGAAACGCTGATAACGGTGGATGTGGTGGACATGGACCCAGCACCACACACCTGGTCCAGACAGGGAGCCGTAGAGAAGGACTTCAGTGAATTTCTTGGTAAAATACATGTTTTTTTTATCAATCGTGAAGGAAATGGTTTGCATGAACTGAAAATAAAGAATGAAGAATGGTTTCGAGTTTAAATAGTCTCGAGTTCCAATGAATGGGTTCGAATTCTAGCTTGCAAGGTGCGTATCACAAACACATAAATTACCTGAATACAAAGATGCAATAATGAAATAATTTCGTGACAGTTTTGTGATATTTGTGAACACACAGAGAGGCACTGCAACAAGTTGCTTAAGGTCAAGAATGAGATCTGTGAGTGAGTGGGAAAATTCTAGCAGGCATTTATTTATTTTTATTATATTTTTGTTAACTTCAATATTGAATTATAATGATTCTAAGTGGACTGTATATTTTGATTCAGCCTGCCAGAATCTTATTTGCACATAGTTTGGAGGGACAATTATAACTTATACCACTATAAGTTATATTTATTATAAGCTGGTATATAATATAAGGGGATATATTATAAGCTAAAATTGTTTACCTCTTGCTAAATATAAAATATACCATATATTGTGGCCTAATCTACAATATTATTAAATCTATTTACTTTATTGCAAAAAGATTTGTGTAAATCCTTATCTGATACTGTAGATATGGCCTCTTTAGGCTGCATATTTTCACCCAACATCTGTTTAGGCGTGTGGCTACATGTGCTTCAGAGTGCCACGTAAAGGCGCCAAGGTCGGTGGCGTCTGTGTACAGCCAAGGTAGCAAGACACTTCACAGTTTATGTGGGCCAGTTTATCTTTTCAGTAACTCCAAATCACAATTTACCTGAATGAAGGACATTAGTAATGGCGCATTAAGAAATAAAGTACAGGTGTGACATGAAATATTGTGTGTGTGTGTGCTGAGTAAAACACTTACTTTGTTGAGCTTTAAGCTCACTGTATAACTGCCAGAACTATCTAAAACAGTAAATGGCCAAAAACATGTAATATATAATTGGGAAGACGGATACTCAGGTATTCCTGTTGTTGTAGAGGTTGCTGTGGCAGTTACTCGGTTGGTTGACTCATAATTTGGGAGTGCATGACGAGTTGTGCTTGCTCGTAAGGAGCCCTCTCTGTGCAAACAACAAGGCTCTATCAAGGAACATATAATCTCCTCTCACAACCAGACCATCACCCAAGCAACACAGAAATCATCAATAGATACAGGGATAGCAGGAGACTCGACATCAGCGAGGCACTACACATCAAAAAGCAATCAACAACCAGCAATCAACAGACAGTTAATGCATAACTATATTCTACCCACTGCAAGACCCCGAACCAACATAGAAGCAGCAAGAGAAAGTATGGGCCAATAGGCCGTCTGTAGTCACTTCCATTCTTATGTTTTCATAACCATTTTATACCCATTGATTCGTGTTCTGTCACCTCTTATCTTGAGGTTATCTTGAGATGATTTCGGGGATCTTTTTAGTATCCCCGCGGCCCGGTCCTCGACCAGGAAGCACCCCGTGACAGCTGACTAATACCCAGGTACCTATTTTACTGCTAGGTAACAGGGGCATAGGGTGAAAGAAACTCTGCCCATTGTTTATTGCCGGCGCCTGGGATCGCACCCAGGACCACAGGATCACAAGTCCAGCGTGCTGTCCGCTCGGCCGACCGGCTCCCTAAACCTCACCCAAAACTTTTGTGTCATTTCACCTCACCCAAAACAAATAAAAGCATGATGTATGTTATGTGTAAATCAAGTCTTTGAAAATGTAAAAAACCTTACGAAACGCTTCTAGGCGTCAGACCAAAAATAAAATTGTAAAAAATGAATTTTGGAGAGTTAATTTTTCAATTATCTTCGACAGTGAAGAAAAACGTAAGAATTATTGAGAAGATTCGTGTTAAAATTATTAATCTTACCCGTTTGGTCATATTCAACAATATATATATATATATATATATATATATATATATATATATATATATATTTAATATGGAAGGGAGTCACACCTCTGGCTGGAAGAAGGAGACCCTTAGTCTCGGAGGAAATCACACACAACGCATTAGAGGGAATGTTCAGGTCCCCTCCAATACAGTTTCAGTGTGCTTTTCTCCTAAAACCACTTTCCTTTTGTCTTTTGTTGTGCCTGTTGTGATATTTAAAGTTTACAAGATTTACATTAGTTAAACAATGGGTTTAGAGGTCATGGATCTCTTGGAGCTCATCCGCTTCCGGACAAGAACCGAAGACGCTGCAGGCGCTTCCCCTCTTGATCACCACACTGAGGCGCTGAAACAGGAAACTGGCTGAAACATCAAACTTTGTTTGATGTTCTGGGATCTTAGGCCTGTGAAGCCCCCTGCTGAACCTGATGGGAAAAACATGGTTACTTTGTACACCTCAGATTCTCGAACAGTCAAGGGTTCTATGCCAGTATTATTTTCCTGGGGATCCCTGCTACTGACTGGAGATCTAAGTGGGTGTTTGTCTTGTAGAGCCCGTGCTGTCGTGGCGTTCCTCGGGGCAATGGTGTCATCGTTGGTTATGATTCTGATGGCACCTGTGGTATTGCCCTCTTCTACTTTCCTGGTGATCTGTGCTCTCATTTTGTGGTTCTCAGGTGAGCTGTTGTTGGTGGTCCTGCGGCTGGTGTTCTTGGCACGAGGGGGGAGATGGATCAGGATGTTCTCTCTGGGGAATTCATTAAGAGCCTTAATTACTGAGGTTGCTAATGTCTTGACTCTCCTCGGCGGTAATGCCAGGCATGCATTCCCAAAAAGTAGGAGATTGTGTCATGCTTCAGTGGTTCTAGGAGCATTGTTGACCTTAATCAGCCGACTGGTGAGTTTGGTGGCTGCTTGGTGACGGGCAGCCTTGGGGATGTGGGGCAAGGTCCTGGTGGACGTCGCTTTGACCGCTTCAAGCAGATTGTCTGCTGAAATAAAGTTGAGAGAGGTATTGTTCCTTGCTCCTGCAGCAGGTTGTCTATTGTCGCTGCCCTGGATCGGGCACCTACACCCTAGACAATGACCTGAATTGACAGAATGTCGGCGGACAGTTCCATCAGCTACAAGACGAAACCGTTTGTCACACACTCGACAATTTCCACTTGGGTGTTCCCCCTCTTGGCTGGAAGGAGGCTGTGTGTCAGGAGCGACATGTAGCATGCCTGGATGTCCTGACGACTGGCTGCCCACTGAGTGCACCCTCTCCTTCCTACCGAATGGAGTGTAGCAAGGCAAGCATTACCCTCCTGAGGAGTTGGGCATGGCCTGGGCACCGTGTGGGGGTAGGCTGGTGGTTGATGGCCAGGCGCAGGCAGCGGGGTTGGGGGAAGATGGCGGGTGGGTTGTGCTGGGGGGCAGGGGTAATGGAGTAGGCTCTCATGCTGCCTACATCACTGTAGGCTGCTTGAGAGCCTCCTCATCACTCCACCCATCCCCCCGCACCCCGCCTGAGGGCTGGTGGGTGGCGGCACTGGGACGACGGCATCAGACGGAGAATACATCACATACGCTGACGATGTCACCCAAATAATTTGCCAACCGGGACCATCAAAGCCGCTACTAGCCGACAAGACCAAGACAGCAATTGAACTCAGTTTACAGTCTCCGTGGTGTAGTGGTAAGACACTCGCCTGGCGTTCCACGAGCGCTTTGTCATGGGTTCGTATCCTTGCCGGGGAGGATTTACTGGGCGCAAATCCTTTACTGTAGCCTCTGTTTAACGAAACAGTAAAATGTGTACTTGGTTGTAACAACGATTCTTCGCGGCGGGGATCGTATTCCAGGGACCTGCGCGAAACGCTACGCGTACTAGTGGCTGTACAAGAATGTAACAACTCTTGTATCGATCACAAAAAAAAAAAAAAAAAAAAAAAAACTTAGAGAAGCAATGGAAAATTAGCACCAACAAACAAAAGTTTCAGATAATACACATTGCGAAAAGAAACCCGGACCCCATCATCCTTGACAACCATCCGATCCAATATGCGGAGGTAGGCAGAATACTGGGACATATGATAAATAGAACAGGGATACAAATTCATGTAAGGGACCGACTAAACAAAGCCAAAGCAGCCTTAGGAAAACTGAGAAGAATCCCCCCAGTACCACTACACACCATAAAGAAAACTAACATGCAAAAACGGCAAGCAGTGCAAAATAAGGCGCTAAGGAGAGCAGCAAAACACCGTCCACCATATGGTCAGACAATCCAGGAGCTCAATGAACGGTGAGTTCATTGAGCTCCTGGATTTTGGAGTGAGTTTTCCCACAGTCATAGTCCCTTGATACTTTGCATGGTCCAATAATGTGCCCCTCCCACCCCACAAAAAAATATTAAAGTGATTTTTGTGAACCTTTAAATAGATGACATGTTTTAGTGTCCTCGGAAGTGGAGGTGATTGGGCACCATTCCTTTTCCTTCCATGTGCTATATAGTTGTAACTGCTTGGCGCCTTCTGATACTTACCATGCCTTGTTGAAGTACGGATGACCCCACCGTCCACCAGATATCCCCTTCTCCTCCCGGGACTCTACTGCTTCCCAGTTCTCGGGTAATGCCTCCGTGTCACTGCCCACTGTGGACAGGCACCGGGTAGCAGCTCCGTGTCATTGCCCTCCGTTGACGGGCAGGAGGCAGCGGCTCCGTGTCATTGCCCTCCGTTGACGGGCAGGAGGCAGCGGCTCCGTGTCAATTCCCTTCCGTTGACGGGCAGGAGGCAGTGGCTCCGTGTCACTGCTCGTCCAACACATGTCAAGTGTGGAGATCGCTCGCTCCTTGATGGCTCTCATTGTATGCCTTTTTAAATCTTCACAGACTTGCCATAGTGGAGGCAGGTGAGTCTCTACGAGCCAGGCCAACGCCGCCTCCAGGGCCCAGTTGAGGACCACGTCTAGGGACACCTTCAGGAGCCAGGCACTGACGCGTGCCACCCGGCGAGGCACCAGGAGACACACGCCCCAGGCACACGCCAGGGCTACAAGAAGCACCGCCCCTGGCAGGAGAGAGGGCACGAGGGCCACGCTGCCGTGCCCCTACCCCCAGGCAGCCAGACTCGTCACTGCCTGCTTGTACTGCCAGACCCGCAGCAGGGACCCCAGCAGAGGGACAC